GGATACTGGGTTTAGCAGAAACTTTATAATAAAGTTTCACCAATTATTGTAAAGATTTCATTTTAAATTACACTTAATAAATTATTATTAAATCATTCATATTTACCATGCAAGTTATATTACTTATATTAAGGGTATAGAAAAATATTTATGGCTCAATGACAAAAACAGGAGAAACTTCTTCATGTTTGAAAGTAGATGGTAACCCAGAGAATAATTTTATTCAGTATTTTTTTTTAAATACACAAGCTGTGTTATCACAGGGAAGGGCCATGGTTGTGCAAAGGTACAGATAAATGAACACTGAAAGTTTATCTATACAATCCAGTCTCCTCAAATCTTCTACTGTGAACAAAATAGTTGCAGGAAGTTGAAATCTTGAAGTATATGGCACATTCAGATTTAAACTCTCAGATAACCCCTTATCACTTTTGATTTACCTGTATGAACAGAAAATTTTCATATTCCTGTGGTGTCACAGTTTCAGAGTTCTCAGTGCTTGGTTGGCCAACTCTATAGCTCTAGGTCTGAGATGAGGCAGAACATTATGGCAGAAGGGCATAGTAGAAGAAAGCAGCTCAGAACATAGCAACAGGAAGCAGAGAGAACTCTGCTCCCCAGGCACAAAATATAAACCTCACAGGCACACCCCCTGTGAATTAGTTCTTCCTACCCAGTTAACATCAGTGGATTAAACTACTGATTAGGTTAAAGCCCTCATAACCTAATCATTTAGCCTCTGACCATTCTTACATTGTCTTGCACATGAACTTATTGGGGAGACAACCCTTACCGACCCATAACTTATGGATGCCATGTCATTCTGTAAATAGACCCAGAGACTTGCCTAATATTAATGTAGACACACAGGGACTCTTTTAAAAGTATATTCACTTAAAGAAAGGAAAAAGGAGGAAGGAGGAGGAGTGTAACCTCTATTGGTCTTACCCGAATTCCTAGCTATCAGCTTTATTTTCCTGGCTGTAGGTTCTGCTCACCCTGATACCATAGGAGTGAAGTTATCTCAGAAGATGATCTAGTTTGTCCTCTACCTCCATGTGATATTTCTCCCATATTATCTCCAACCACTGACAAACTTCATTAATGCTCAATTTTTAAGGATATAATGCAAGCCACAGAAAAAGAAAGTACAAGTTAAAATGGTACAAAAAAATCTGAACAGATTATGTTTTTATTTTTTAAATATACATCAAGATATTCTTTGTAGGTCTGTGTAAATGCAGTTCTAAGTTTTGTCAAATTATTATAGGCCATCCCATTGATTTAATCAGTATTCACTTTTTTAAATTATTAGAAAATTTTCATTGAAAGCTAAAAGTTAGGAGGAGTACATACTAAAGTCTTGGCTTTACAAGCAACTTGCTATAAATCTTTGGGTAGGTCATCCATTCTTTTTAGACTTTTCTCTTCTTTGGTGACAATTAAAAGGGTTAGAGTAGAATGAACTTGAATGTTCTATGCTGACATTTTGTCCTCAGTTATGGATTTTCAACTAATATTTTTCAATTAATATTATAATAAATATTAATAAAAACAGTATGCAAAATTCATTTGCATACTATTGTATCACTCACAAAGTGATTTTACATATATGACCTGTTTTAAATCTCTCCAGTGTCTGTGAATTAGGCACATTTCATAGGGGTGCAAATAAGTTCAGAGAAAGTTGTTAGTTATCCAAGATCACAGGGTTACTAAGAAGGCAGGACTGGATAGACAGGTCTTCCTGCTTCCAAGTTCAACTTTTCCATCAACTGTATTCAATTACTTCAAGGTTATGGAAATAGAAGAGCATGCTTAATTGTTTTTTTTTTTTAACATTTAGAATAAAAAAAATGTAATGTAGAAAAGAACATTGAACACTCTGTTTTTGAGTAAAGTGTATGACACATGAATTATATATCATGAAGTTTTTTTTTTTTTTGCATGCTTAGTTTTTAATGAATTGTAAAGTAATCTGTTATCATAAAACAAAACTCTGATTTAAAGTTGGGAGAACTAGGTTTCATTGAAAGCTCTAACACAGATTTGGGGAATTTGTTAACATTTTCAGCCTCGGTTTCCTCATTTGTTAAAAAAAAAGAAGTTTGGGCTTCATGAGTTTTGAACTTTCTTCTTGCTTAAAATTCTGGTTTTTCTATTCATTGGCTTTGACCATTTTTAGATTAATGTTGTGAAATATTAATATTAAAATGCAAACTTTTAGGGTCTATAAGAGTTTTTAAATAAACTAGATATCTAGTTTTTAGATAAACTAGATGATTATTTCCACTTGCTATTATTCATGCTTTTTGGCTACTGGCATATTAAAAACTTGGAACTGATATCATTGATCTTACTGACCGAACTCCACTTTCTAACAAACTAGTTAGTTTAAAAAATCATGGGGTGGTTCATGATTTTGGGCTGAATTGTGTATAAAATGTATTTTCTGAAAGGTCTTTTCTAGAGAAAACTTACTTGGGAACTAATGCTAGAGAACCAAAGGGTTACTGTAAAGACATTTTCAGCTCTCTTTGCATATATATATATATATATATATATATATATATATATATATATATATATATATATATACACACACACATATATATATATATGAATGATATGGAGTTTTATTGTCATGCATGCTCACAATTCAGAAAGTTTATGGTTGATAAACATCTCATTTTAAATAAAGAAAAATCACATGAAAATACAATGGTCAGTGTTTCAAGAGTTTGGGACAAAGAAGAGTTTTGAACCTGCTGCTTCTTTGGCTGCCTCCCCACTTGAGTAGAACATTGTAACTTTTGAAGCCAACATAGAATGGATCATAACTAGCTTGCTGAGCTGGTGACTTTATGCACAATTAAGCCTTGTTGAGACTTTCTTTATTTGTAATAGTGCTGTTACAGCGTGGGATGCTATTCAGCTCCAAACAACATTCCATTTAATAACGAAGCAATAGTTCAGCCACTAAATCAGGACCATCACTAACTGATAAACATCATCCTCCCTTTTTTTTTTCTTTTTGACCTCGCTTGGCTCTTCTGCCTAGCAAAGTAAGTATGGCCACGGCTTGAGATGAGAAAGTTGGAGGAAGGGTCAACTGAACAATAATGATCAAAATTACATCTAGTTACAGAAATGGCACTTCCTCTTAGGCTTTTCTTTTCTTTAAATTTGAAGTTATCTACTTTCCGAGCAGTAATTTAAATGCCATTGAAAACAAGACTATACAAGGCCCTTGGTTTGATCCCTAGTACAAAAAACAAGCAAACAAAACAAAACAACAATAAAAACTGGACAAACAAAACAAAACAAAACAAAACACAGCATTAACTACCACATCTCTTAGACACTGAGGAGATCAAAACCCAGAAGGCCATGTAAAATATATACACCAAAAAGATATGAACGAGAATATTAATAGTATTTTTTTTGCAATAATCAAAAGTAAAAACAGTTAAATGTCCATCAAGAATAGAATAAATAAATGAACTCTAGTATATTTATTTACTAAAAACTCAAGCTAGAAAAAAAGAAAGAAACTTCATAGAAACCACACATAAAAGCCCACAAAAATAAAGGTAAACAAATCATTGATTAGAAAGGCAGAACCAAACCAAAACTAAAAACTCAGATATAACTAGCTTCTGAACACTAGTAAATTATCAAGTTTTTGATGTGATTGGTGAGTACACAAATGCATTCACTTTTCGTCAAACTCTACATATTTTGTGCCATTTTCTGAATAAATTTTACACATTAATAAAAAAATTATTTAGAAATTATGTTAGAAATGAGAAACTGCCACGGTTAAACAGGACTTGAGTGCCTTAATAGCCATCAATTCAATTAAGACTCATCAGCAAGTATGAAAGGGTCAGTATTAATATTATTAACTTATTAATACATTAACTTATTATTTTAATTCAGTTTTTGTTTTAGAGCAGATTTAGGTTTACAGAAAAGTTGCAGTGACAGAGTGTTCCCATATACTGCTCATCCACTTTCTCCTATTGTTAAGGAGGTAGAATGCCCTTCTCAAAACACCATATCGGAGTGCATGTTATCGACTTACTACTGATTGTCTTAACCTTTGTCTGATCAAGGTTATGTTTATCAGGCTCCTGAAATAAAACTATTTTTCTCTCCTTTCCAATATTGAATTTTTAGAAAGAAAGTCATTCAGTGCTGGTCACACTCAAGGATGAGGGTTATGGATTAAACTTCAATTCCTTTTTAAAAATTTCATTTTCGTAAACAATTTACACTACATATCATATATTGGGTCAGCTCATTTACATAATTTATAAGTAAATATCCTTACTATTTTGCCTTTTTACAAGCAATTAGACAGCAAATAATGTGTGATTCAACATATTGTTACAAACTTTCCATTTTAACGGAAACTTTGTAACAAGATAAATATATCCAAGCTAAAGAAAGGGTCATACTGTAACTAATGAAAATAAATGAAAATGACTAAAAGAGAAGGTGAGAGCATCTTCTTTATCAGGGGTAATGGTTATGGGCTAATCTATTTTAAGATGGAAATGGGCCTGCATTAAGGATTTGAATCTGGGGCTGAAGAGGTTTGGTGAATTATGCCTTTAGAACACTTATGATGCATAGTCTACTTTTCCTCTGTGGACGGGTCTCACGCATAGCTATGCATCACCTTAGCCACCAACTCTGGGTTGAAGAAGCCCTAGCAGAACTTCTACACGGGCTGTTATTTGGAAGGCATTATTCCACCAGAGGATTTGTAGCCAGCGTACCTGGACCATTTCTATGGCACTAGTCCGCTAGGAAGCCAGCAAGAAGCTCCTCCCCGCGGCGTAGAAAAGGGGGTTGCGGAAGTCTGCGAGCCCCTCCGTCCCGAGCTGCGCTCGCCCGGCCCCCAAGCCCCGCCCCACTTCGTCTCTGGGCCCCGCCCAGAGCCCCGCTCCTCCTCCAGCCCCGCCCCTCCCCGGCCTCCCTGTCTTCCTTCCGGGTCGCGCTGGGCCGGGCTTGCCGCGGTAGTGCCGCAGCGCGAGACTCTGGGATCGGCCTCGCGCCCAGGCCTTCCCGCGCCTCCTGGTCCAGGGTGAAGCCCTCGGCGCGTGCCACTCCCGGACCCTGCAGGGTACGGCCCTTCCTTTACTTCTCCCTCATGCGGGTCTCCGTCTTCCTTCGTCGCTGGGGCGGGGCCGGGCGGCGAGCTGTTTGGAGGGAGCGTGGGCGTGAGGCTGAGGCCCCCACCACTCGCGCCTCCGCCTCCTGCTGTGCGGCGTTTGTGGGGCTTGCTGGGACCTTTGAACTCTGCTTAGGTGCCAAGGGCGCAGCTTCCCTGCACCAGTGTCCCTGCAGGGCTTGAGTCGTAGCACTACGCAGAGTTGTTGACACCGGGGAGTCTGCGGGCTGCCCACACCTGCCGCTCCTTCCTGACCTGGTCTTCAGCCTGAGCCACTTGCCTGCTAAAGAAAACTTGTTGCTGGTGTACCTGCTGCCATTATTTCCCTGTGACATCTGATGGTTTCTGCCCATGCCTTTCTTCTGGACTGCCGCAGGATGACTGGTTGCAACCTCGTTTCCGAGTTTGGGGGTGCTCCTAGAATCTGATGATGACCATCCACTTGTCCTTGTGCACATGTTTGCAGTGTGGGTCGTTTTGTATTTCCTTGGCCCAAAAGCTCATTGCCACAAAGACTCCCCACCACCCCCAAGTTACTTGGAAAGAAGTTAAGATGATATAAACTTGTGGCCAGGTAGTTGCATTGATAGTTGATACTGTGTCCGGCTTTGTGCCCTGGAGGTCTCACTACTTCACCAGGTGTGGGTTTTTTGCTTGTGTCTGTCTCAAGATACAAGCTGACTTTTCTGCTTTCTGCATTCAGTCCTAGGTTTCTTAAGTTCAGAATATGGGTACCTTTTTCTCGTCAAACTCACCTCATGCTGTTGGTTGAATACAGGGGCCTTTTGCCAGTTACCTCAAGGCACCTTTATCAGATATTAAGTTCTTGAGGGAAAGTAAAGTTTTCTCTCTAGTGGCAGTGTGCATCACCCCATAGTAGGCACTGAATTGGATTGAATTGGATTCATTTAATACTTTCAATACCAACTTTTACTTGTCACCTGCTGTCGCAAATTTTGGGTTTTCTGAACCCTGCATTTTCATATCCTTCCTTTTGTTACTGACTTGAAAATCAGAGAGTTCAGCTGAGTATAAGGTGGTTAATTTCTTTTGCTTATGCCATGATACAGTTAAAAAAAAAAAAACAACAATGTTAACAGATTATCTTTCACTTCTGTGTGTGTGGTCATCTAACAAAAACTGCCCTTTCTTTTTCTGTGTTAGTATCATTGTCTTACTCTTATAATTTTGGTGTAGTGTACAATTGCCATTTAACTTCATGAATTTAACTTTGGTGTCCTCTTAGGCCTCTTATCATCTAAATTTATATGAATATCCTCTTCTTTTTTCTTCTAGTACTCTTGTTGATTTTATTTATATATAAGGTAGGAAGCAAGACTACACCTTTTTTGTTGCTGTTAACCAGTGATGACAACATCATTTGTTGAATTCTCTTTTTCCCTTCTGATAAGTACTCTGTATATATCGCTAACTCCTGTGTATTCTTGGGACTCTTTCTGAACTGTTCAGCAGTGATTCTGACTTTCTGTGATGATGCCACACTACTCTTGTTACTCTAACTTTGCAATATGTTCTGATTTCTAGTAATTTGAACAATGTATATTGTACACATTCCTAAATATTTTGGGAATGAACTCATTTAGTTGGGACAAGTTAAGTCCCCTTCTTTACATCTTATGCCCCCTAAGTTTCTTGCCTATGTTGGAATTTAATATTTTTGGTTTGCCTTTACCACAATCAGTTGAATTAGTAATGCTTGTTAAACAAATCCCTTCTGTTGCTCACTCAGTATTCACTATGTAGAGTTGCTCCCTAGAGTTGTACATAAGAGAAGCAGCCTGATTAAAAATGTGCAAATCTTTTGACTTTGCTTTTTTGTTTTTAGTACCTGTGATATGTCTCTTTGTCAGTTACAAAACAGGACATTCTATACCTGTTTTCAGTATCACTTCTGTAAGTGATCCCTCAGCCTTGTGTCCATTTTTATATTACCATCTCAACTGGATATCCCAAAATAATACATTTTCAAGTGTTGCTTATTAATAAATACTTAAAAACTCTATTAGGTCATAAATAAATATGTATGTTCTCTTTAAAAATTAAGCAGTACATATAATAGCCAAAGGAAAATGTGATAGTGTTCTGTGCCCACCTGTCCAATAACCGTGTTCCACAAAAGTCATCACTGTTTAATAATTTATTCTTACATTCCAGATTTTAAAATGAGTATAATCTACATTTGTTTCATAGTTGGCAGTCTATTCTGTGTAATTTTTCTGCAAGTTTTAGTTAGTCATAGTTGAGGAACATCTTTTTGTGTCAGTTCATGTAACATATTGTCCTTTTTTTGTGATACTGTAGGTTAAACTCAGGAATGCTCTACATCTGAGCTACATTCATAGGTCTTTAAAAAAAATTTTTTTTTTCCAGACAGGATCTTGCTAAGTTGCCCAGGTTGGCCTCAAGCTTGTGATTCTCCTGCCTTACCTTCCTGAGTAGTTGGGATTATAGGCATGTGCCACCATGCTTGGTTCAACGATATCTTGTTCTCTAAAAAAGTCTTTTTGGCATTTAATTGTAGGAATAATCCAAAATTTATTGAACCAATCCTCTGTTGATATTTAGACTAGTATAAATTTATATTGTGTTTATAATATAAACAAAATTACAGGATCATTTTGTATGTGCAGTAGTTTCCCCTTCAGTTTTCTTTTCTTTTTTTTTTTTTTAAATATTTTTATTTTTTAGTTCTCGGCGGACACAACTTCTTTGTTTGTGTGTGGTATGGAGGATTGAACCCGGGCTGCATGCATGCCAGGTGAGCGCGCTACCGCTTGAGCCACATTCCCAGCCCCAGTTTTATTTTCTAATGGTTTCAGTTACCTACAGTCCAGCCTTAGTCAGAAATTATTAAATGGAAAATTCTAGAACTAAACAATTCATAAGTTTTAAATTGTACACTATTCTAAGTAGCATGATGAACTCTTATGCTTACTCCATGAATCATATCTTTGTCCAGCACATCCTTGCTGTATCCACCATCCACTTGTTAGTCACTTGGTAGCATCATGATTATTAGATCAACTGCATAGTTTTGCCATTCTTGTTCAAGTAACCCTTTTATGTATGTATGTATGTATGTATGTATGTATATATGTATGTGTGTTACTAATGGCTCCAAAACTCAGTAGTAGTGATGCTGGGAATTCAGATATGCCAAGAGAAGGTATCAAGTGCTTCCTTTAAGTGAAAAGGTCAAAATTTGTCATAGATATGTGTACATGAGAAGAACAAGTATATACATGTGTTCCCTGCTATTTGCGGTTTCAGGCATCCACTGAGATCTTGAAACTTATTCCTTAAGGTGAGGGAACTACAGTATATGTTTGCACATTCATTTTCTTTAGTGCAAATGCTTAAATTGCTGGGTCAAAGACTATATATTTTTTTAAAATCTCAGAGATTCTGCCATAGTGCTCTTCAAAAAGGTTGTTAAGAGTAGACATGTACAGTTTATAAAAATGCTCCTTTTGCCATCATATATCATTGCTAAGAATGGCCAAGAGTCTGCAATTGTATCCAGCTTGCAAGCTAAGAGTTTGCTGGCAGAAGACATGAGTCTTCTGGGTCAGAGACAAAGAACACAGCAGTAATGGCAGCCAGAGCATATCATCTTGTGCTGAGTCCTGGTGCCCCAGTTTCTACAGGATGATGTGACAAAGGCCAGATAACACTAGCACATGCCGCAGGTTTCCTCCTGAGTTTAGAGAATCTGAATTTTTCATAGTGGAGTACAAGTAAACATGCCTGATTTTTGCCTTAGAGGGAAACATCATTTTTCTGTATAGTAAACTTACCCACTGCTCAAGAGGAAGACCTCTTTTTATATCCCAAGGCTGTTTGCTATATAAATGGTATAGAAAAGATAATCTGAAATTAAGATGATCAGTGCCTCTGTTAAGACATGTAGAAACTGATATTTCTGTAAAGTATTATCTCATATAACAGTTACTATCAAGATGAAGTGGTCATTTGCATTTCTTTGCTTAATGATGGGGTTGAATATCTATCTGTATGTTTACTGGCCATTTGTATTTTTTGTTCTTGCATGATCATATCCTTCTTTTATTTTATGTTGAATTTCTCTTTTATTGATTTATAATAGCTCTTACATATTGTGACTATTATTTACTTGGTAAATCATTTATTAGTATTTTTTCATATTTTTTAAATAATGTGGTTATTGGGAATTGTTGCTACATATAAATCTTTAGATTGTTTGTTTTTGTTAGAACTCAACAAACTGTACTCTTGAAATATATGTTTTTTTGGAATGCAGTTATGTTCTGAAGTAAGTTTTAATAGTATTACACCATTTTAGGTAATTACTCTTTTAGCTATAATGGCTATCCATGACAGACTTAAAATATTGTGTTTTGAGTTTTTGTTAGTCAGGATAACTGTAAATCCTCTATATTTTTGTTAGGTAAAATGTTCTCTTGTTTTAGTATGTAAAAAATGTACAAAAATATTTAGATAGTATTTGGCTAAAGCAAATTCATATAATTAGTATGCTTTTTAACAGAGATATCATTTTTTCCTCTTCAACCAGATATGATTCATTTAAAATGCTTTAGAAAAACATATAGTATGTATTTATGAAAGATTTAAGGTTCTTTTGAATTCACCAGTCTCCTCATTCCTATAGTTTATTCTTATCTATTATGAAAAAATTAAGAAAGGGTAAGATGTAGTTAATATACCATAATAGTATGTGTATCTAAGACACCTTGTAACTAGAAACATATCCTTCCTTGTCACAGTGTGAGATAGTATTTAGGTGGGAAGTGTGTTTCCAGATCCATTATGTCAGAAAATCACCATTCCACTAATCCTATAATCTGCTTTTTTTTAAAATCATTGATTTCTCTAATTCTTTTTTCTGCTTTTCTTGCTACTAAAGATTGATGATGAATATTTCAGAAGTTTTA